CTCATAAGACTCGATACTTCGTGTATACAGGTTCGGACAAGATGTATCTGGACCTCAAGAAACTGTATTGGTGGCCGAACATGAAAGCAGAGATTGCTACCTATGTGAGCAAGTGTCTGACTTGCACTAAAGTCAAGGTAGAGTACCAAAAGCCATCGAGATTGCTGCAACAACCCGAAATACCCGAGTGGAAGTGGGAACGGATAACCATGGACTTCATAACCAAATTACCCAAGACAACAGGTGGGCTAGACACCATCTGGGTAATCGTAGATAGGTTAACAAAATCCGCACACTTCCTGCCAATAAAAGAAACCGACTAGATGGAGAAGCTAGCTCGAACCTACATCATAGAGATTGTATGACTACATGGTGTACCAATATCCATTATCTCCGACAGAGATAGTAGGTTCACCTCACGATTCTGGCAATCATTACAAAAATCTCTAAGAACGAGGCTCGACATGAGTACTGCTTACCACCCACAAACTGACGGTCAAAGTGAAAGGACCATACAAACCTTGAAAGATATGCCAAGAGCTTGTGTAATCGATTTTGGTAAAGCGTGGGATACCCATTTACCACTAGTCGAATTTTCATACAGCAATAGCTATCACTCCAACATTAAAGTTGCTCCATTTGAAGCCCTCTACGGACGGAAGTGTAGATCACCACTGTGCTGGACTGAAGTAGGTGACACACAGCTAGCCAAGGGACAAGTACCCGAAAACACTCTCACTGGCTTGGAAATCATAAGAGAGACAACCGAGAAGATTGTACAAATTCAGGAATGACTAAAGGCTTCAAGAGACAGACAAAAGAGTTATGCGGACAAAAGACGGAAGCCCTTGGAATTTCAGGTCGGGGACCGAGTGCTATGAAAGGTCTCACCCTAGAAGGGGTTAATACGTTTCAGAAAATGTGGGAAACTAAACCCAAGGTATATCGGACCATTCGAGATCCTTGAAAGGATCGGCCCGGTAGCCTACAAACTTCGTCTACCGCACGAACTCAATAATGTACACCCTACATTTCATGTGTCAAACTTGAAGAAATGTTTGTCCGATGAGACCCTCGTCGTCCCTCTAGACGAAATCGAAATCAACGAGAGTCTCCACTTTATAGAAGAACCAATTGAAATCATGGATAGGGAAATTAAAAGAACAAAACAAAGTCGCATACCTATCGTGGGGGTCCGCTGGAATGCAAAGAGAGGGCCTGAATACACCTGGGAACGCGAAGATCAAATGAGACACAAGTACCCGCATCTTTTTCCCTAATCCACAAGTGTTTTTATTACATTAAGTTTCAGGACGAAATTCCCTCTAACGGGGGGATGATGTGACAACCTGATATTTCGATTCTATGTAATGACCTAAAAAGCCAAGTATTGTAACCACTTTTGAAAATAATGAAATTAAATTTGAAAATAAAATGTACAAAAGTCTCTATTTGGTTACCTATTATGTTAGATATCATTAAACCGTGAGCGTAAATTAAAAAAACGTCCAAATCTGACTTCGTATGAGGAAGTTATGATTTTTCCAAGTTCGGTATAGCGGTATACAGCTAAAAAATCGAACGGAGAGCGAGCGACTTTTGGCCGGAATGAACTAAATGAGAATCGAAGGTCTCAACAATGGTATTTCAACGGTAAAAAGTCTGGCAAAAACAGATATCGGATAAAGAAGTTATGGATTTCTAACTAACTTTTCCTACCCCGACCTTTTAAAAATAAATAATAAAAATAATTTCAAAATTTGCCGATGGAGTATAAACGAAAGTTGTAGAGCGTTGTCTCACCTACGCGTGGTTATAAAGAACGTCGAAAACGGAATTCGTATGAGGAAGGTATGAATTTTTGCAATTTACTAAATAATTAAAATATAAATTTAAATAAAATTGCGGTATTATCCGAAGGAGGAGTCATCGGGCCAATCCGAGTTACGCCCAACATACTCGAGTGCTAGGCTTCAGAATGTCCACGTCGCCCCTCTACGTCGCTATGTCCCATCCCATCCGAACTCCGGCAGCTGAGGATGCGGTCATGCATGACGTACGCGTACGCCCAGCGTACCGAGGCGGTTCCCAGCCCCTATAAAAGGGATGCGAGGGTTCCGGATAAATTGCTCATTTTCTCTCCTATTTCTTGTGTTTTTACTTCATTTTGCGTGCAAGTAATATCCCGAAGCCACAGTTTCCATACCCAAGCCCTGAAGGAAGTTTACGCTCCCGAGATTCCCGAGAATCCTGAGAAAATCCTCTTTCTCAAGTCAAAGTTCTGCTCGGTTTTCGTCTCACCTTCTTCGATCTATCAAGTGAGTTCATACCCTTATAAACTACGCTTTTAAATGTTTGATAAATGTTTTTTATACACTTTTAAGGGGGGGGGGGGAGGGGAATGCAAGTAAACACACAGTTATTATCATGTGTAACATAAAGTTTCACTATGTAAACTTTTTATCTAGTAATCATATGTGATTCATAACTACTATATGAGAACTTTCGTATGCAATATATATTCTCGATAACATCTTGTCTTTTGGAAATAAAACATGTTTATATATATATATATATATATATATATATATATATATACACACACACACACACGAATCAAACACTTTATTTATACTTTAAGTATGGGTGATTATTTATTTCACTTTCAATGTTATACTTTACATAACAAGTGAGCATTACACTTTAAAAAACTATAATAGGTATAGTTTACGAGAAAATCATGAACATTTACATACTAGAAACACTATATCAAAGAGATATATTCATACACAAGAACAAACAGACATTTTCATACGTAAATCTGTTTATACTAAGTTTTGTGAGACATTTCACGTACTTTCGAGTATGCATTTTAAGTCCTGTATTATATACCATAATCCCTTGTAGGGGGAGCGTGATACTTGTGTATAGATCTATACGGGATTGACAATCTCACACCTAAACTGTTAGCTACAGTTAGGCCGGCAGACCTGGGGTGACAAACGTCATAACTTTCCAACGCCTGAAGAACGTTATTATAGGCATCCTGGTCAAATAGTATGGTTATAAGACTCACATGGAGTATTAAAAACACATTGATTTACGGGGTTTTTCAAATGCCTTAAACAATTTATACATAAACCTACTATTTTAAGCATGAAAAGCACTATTGCATTATAGTTTTGGAACAATCAAACTACCACCTACTATAGTAGAAAATATGGGATTTTCTAGGAACTTTTAAACATGTACAAACCATTTTCATTCTATTTCATATAAAAATTGTTACTAAATACTTATGAACTCACTAGCTTAAATGCTGACCTACTCTTTCAAAACCACTTGTATTTCTCAAGGATTCAGTAATGCAGGTAAACTACAACTTTTGAAGAAGGGACGTTGCGGCGTTAGTTTAATTTTATTTTGACATCATATTGTAATTTGTTTTTGAAACAAGTACTTTTCAACAATGTAAACTTTTAAATTATATATATGATGGTTGTATTACTTTTTTTACTATGTATTCAATTGTTGCGATACTACATGAAGTCATCCGCCCTCGAACGATTTCACCATTCTGGTTTGGAGGTGTGACATAGCCTTAGAGAAGTTTCCTAGGGCTTGGGGGTATTTAGGAGGGTTAGAGTGAGTGAGAGAGAGAGAGAGAGAGAGTATTGAGAGAAAGAAAGGGGTTTAAGGTGTGGAAAATGAGGCACCCTCGCACCTCGTTTTATAATGTTGGAGCTTCGGTTACGCAGGGCATACCTTCAGAGGTATGCAACGCGTTCCTCGGTACGCAGGGCGTACCTGAGTAGGCGGCGCATTCCGGAGCTTACGTGTCCAAAGACTGTCGGGGTGACATAGCAGATTTGAGGCCAAGCATGCGAACGCGGGGCGTTCCTCTTATCTTCCGGGGGGGGGGGTCCCTGAGTAACCTCATAGATCACCCTCTCGACTTCTAAAATTCGTAACTTTCGCATACGAGCTCTGATTTCGACGTTCTTTATATCCACGCATAGGTGGACATACTCTACAACTTTCGATTAGAATCTGTCGGCTAATTTTCACACTATTTTTAAAGTTATATTTTTAACAAGCCGGGACAGAAAAAGTCTATTAAAAATTCATAACTTTGTCATCTGACGTTCATTTTCGTCTGTCTTTCCGTCTTTGAGCTACTATTAACGAGATCTTCAATTCTCTTTTAGGTTGTGTCGGTTAAAAATCGTTCGATTTAACATTCGAACTCCGGGCTACCTACTGTTATGTTGAATCTTGGAAAAATTATAATTTTTTCATACGAAGTCAGATTTGAGCGTTCTTTTTATTCATGCTCTCGGTTTAACGTGTACTACGAATTTCGTTTAGATAACTAAGGCTAAAAAGTATTCTATCCTAAAATCACCTTTGTACGTCACATAATATCGTACTGGTTTTATCGTGAAACTTCGACATGTCATAACTTCTTCGTTATAACTTAGATTTCGGCGTTCTTTATATCTCTGGAATCATTGTCACGACCACTAAAACTCTCTTCATAGATATTTGGTCCATCTATTATTTTATTTTCAATGCTTATTTTCATTCTTAATTTATTATATCTACATAAAAAAGTTTAATCCACATAAATTCACTTAATTCACATAATACTCAAATAATCCTTTTTTGTTTACTTTAGAATTGATTACAAATCTTGACTTTAATTATTACATCATCTTACTAATGCTTAGCCTGAATACGGGTGTTACATACTCGATTAAAGAACATCAGTGTTTTACTGTTCGTTTTCTTAAAACTGTCGTATCTTTTGCATACGAACTCCGTTTTGGACGTTCTTTATATTTTCGAAAATAGGGGAACATGTACTATAAGGTTTTATTGTTTTCTTTGCTCATAAGTGCGTAATAAGAATTTTCAGTTTTTCAGACGCATTAATTAGGGTTGTAGTTTGAGCTATTTGATTCATTTGACAGTTTACATATTTTGAAGTAAGGTATCACCTGGTATCTTATAATATTTGAAATGAACTCATTTATTTTACATTATATGCACTAAATCTAAATGAGTCAAATTACAAAGAGATTTATTGTAAATTAATTTTTCACAGTCTGACCTAAATTATGGGATGTCATAGAAAGTTTGCCACAAACACAACCCATTTGTTGAAATTCCTGAAATCCAAAAATGGAAAATGGATGTTAGAAAAAAAAAATGAAAAAGTCTATACGTATTTTATGTTACCCTCTGAACTAAGCCTAGTAGTAGCTTCATTGCCGCCATTATCAACCTCCACTGCAACTTCATCCATTCTTGAAGAATAGAGAAAAAGTTTAGATGATCTATTTGATTCTTTCTCTATATACTCATTTGATGAAATTCCTTTCGAGCGCATACACCCAAAAACTGTTTCAGAAACAACTATTTGGGAGATATAGATTCTACTCATGAATCAAGATTTACATTTGTATGCTTCAACAGATCTATGTCCGAAACTAAAGTAAAAGCTCACTCACCATTATTGATCTTGAGATAATGATAAACTTGTTAATGATGATTTTGATAGTCAGATGATGAATGATCTGGTGGTGGATGATCATTTGCTACATATTATCTTTTGTCTTCTTGTGCTGTCTTAAACCAGTCACAAGAACTCTCCTCTATCTTTCTCTCTCCAGAACTTCAAAATAAGCATCCTGATTATTTGATTAAAAGCATGTGCTTAGTGACGTTGAAGCATCAAAGAACTACTTTTATTTTATTGTATCCAAATTCAATTGAAAAAGGAAAGAACAAGAATAGTCAAGAAAGACCGTAAAGCTGACACTAAAGATGAAAAACACTTCAAAATTGCTCTTTTATTTGGGTCTTATGGTTTTTATGCAGATAAAGTAAGTTGCCAAATTTACAACTAAATCTTCATAACCAGATTCCATTTGCTTTAACATCAATTCAGAACAAAAGAAACAGAAATCAAGACAGGGGTTTTACACATAAGGAAAAAAAGGATAAAAAAAGATGGGAAATCATAGAAAAATAGGCAAGAAGAGTGATTCATGCTTGAATAGACGAAAAGAGCAACCTATCAAAAGGAAGCATCGAATTCATCTCTCCAAAAAAAAGAATTTTTGTACAACTGATTCATCTCCATACATGAATGTGTGTTTCAGAGAGAGAGAGAGAGAGAGAGAGAGAGAGAGGGGGGGGGGGGTTTACACATAAGGAAAAAAAAGGAAAAACAAAGATGAGAAATCATAGAAAAATAGGCAACAAGAGTGATTCATGCTTGAATAGAAGAAAAGAGCAACCGATCAAAAGGAAGTATCGAATTCATCTCTCCAACAAAAAAAAAATTGTAAAACTGATTCATCTCCATACATGAATGTGTGTTTCATATATATATATATATATATATATATATATATATATATATATATATATATATATATATATATATATATATAGAGAGAGAGAGAGAGAGAGAGAGAAATTATATTTTCCTTTCTTTTTTAAATAACAAAAAACTTCATAATGATCTCTGTTTTGTGAAATGATGAAAATGTCATTATGTTAAGAGCTAAAAGATGATAGCGTCAACTAAAAGGACAATTTGCTAAAATTTTTGAAACCACATAGATCACATGTGAGGTTTTTTAAACTTAGAGACTAAGCTTCAGATTTCAAAACACCGCAAAGACCATTTATGAAATTTTGTCTTTAATAAATAATGTGTTAGTTGTTTCCTTTATCACAAATACCTTTTTCTGTATAACCCATGGTTCCAAAAAACACGTCATGGCGCGCTTCAAGGCATGCCATGGCGCGAGACTTGACCTAGCCGTTACAAAAACGTCCAAAATGAGTTTGTTAAGCATGACGCCCAAATAACGTGTCAATGCGTGCCTTATCGCGTTATAATGCAAGTTTTTTTTTATTTTTTATTTTTAAGGATCGCCGCCTCACGATTATTTGGAAGCTTGGTATAACCTCTTAATATATTACCAAAGGATGTGTGGCCATTTTGCAGTTTAAGTTGGGATACAAAAGTGATTAGCGCACTTTATATTAAATAAGAAATAATTAGTGTACTTTAAATAAAAAAAAAGGTTTAGGTTATGGGTCAACTTCAATGACTATGAAACATGATTGGTGGAAACAATTTCTTCCCATTAATAATATTTTCCAATACTATTATTTAAATATTGTAGGGTGTCTCACTCGTCCTCGTGATTCCAATAAAAACTAAAGAAATGATATTCTACAATAAGTTTAATACTGGTGTATCCTCTTACCAATGTTCTAAAACATCATCGTAAAGAACGTTTGACTAAAATCTATATATCAAGCGTTAAAAACCTAATTAATGTTACATGGTTTTGTAAACTGCCTTTTATATTTTAACATGATTGATGGAAGAAAATAATAAATTTCTAATAAGCTACATCAACAAAATTAGAGGAATGGAAAAAATATTTTAAGCTAAAAAATAATAGATCATGATCGGTTTTTTTTTTTTTTTTTTTTTTTTTTTTTTTTTTTTTTTTTGTCATACGTAATAATTAATGTTTTATAAGGTTGTATAATATATATAAATTATAGATAAAACTTTAAAAATAGTTTATGTGGTTTTCGAAAATCTGAAGTTTAATCCCTAATTTATAAAAACTTCACAGATGGTCCATGTGGTTTCAAAACTTTTAACAAATGGTTATTTTCGCTAACTCCGTTAACATTTAGCCGTTAAGTGAAGGGCACTTCTGTCATTTCACAACCACACAGACCATTTATGAAGTTTTGCCTTATTTTTTTTAAAACGAAAAAAAAATATAATTATTTAATATTAAAGGGCCCCACCCCCTCCCCTATCTCTCTCTCTCATATATATATATATATATATATATATATATATATATATATAATATATATATATATATATAATATATATATATATATTATATTATAATATATATATATATATATATATATATATATATATATATAGCGAAACACTAGAACCTACCCTCCTCCCCCCATTTTCACCCAAATCCAACTAAATCGAGACGCACACAAAGGCTTCAACTCCACTATCTTCGAGTTAGAATCTGAAACCCACGTAGGAGGTCCGACGACCTCCTTATCACCGCTGGAAGCCGTAACATCTCCTAACCCTCCACAATGTCATCGACGACCACCATAGCAGTCACGTCAGTGAGGGTCACATTTGTTTTGGTGCCAAAGAAGACAAAAGCAATGAAAAGGGATCGTCAAAAGCTTTGTGGGAAGCTTTAGCTCTCTCCTCATCCTCGTGCTTCCAGCCTCTACGACATCTCCAGACTCACTCCAATTAAAGAGTCTAAACAGTTCTCCAAGAGAGAGAAGCAGCTGCTCGAGAATGTTTGGGTCCTCTGGATGATTGAGTTGCAGGTCTCGTCTCACTTCCATCATGCTCACATTATGATTGTTTGTAAGTGCCTGGGCGATGACTTTCTTAAATTTCGTGGATTCGCACGCCCTAAAACAGCTCTGGAATCACCCAAATTAGTTACGAACAATTTCTTATTCCATATGATCCCACCCCGACAACAAGAACAAACGTAATAGATGCTAGGTATGTGTTTCAGTGCTTCACGCGCAAAATAGATGAATCCTTTATCAGTTTCAGCAACCACATTTCTAAGCACTTGCTTGTTAATCTCCTCAATTTCATACCTTCATCCCTGCACATGCCCCTGTTATCTGTTGGATTTCATATACCAAGGTATGGATGAATCATTGTGCATTCATTCATAATAAATTATCAGACTAGCTATGCACATAAAGTGTTCGATGAAATAACGGAACCAAAACATTGCCCTGTTCCACCATATTATCCATTCAACCGAGCAAATTTATTCACAAATATGCAATGATAAGATCCGAGAATTACTGTAGAATCAACAAACTTCAAACAAATATGGTTACGATGATGCAATAATGGAGATCATAAATTACGGAAAAATGTGGAGGAGGTGAAGTTATATGATAACGGGGATTGAATTTTCCCTTTTTATTTTGGGTTGTAAGTGCTCTTCCTGTGAATGTAAGAGAGAAAAACAGAGAGAAAGGGGTAGAGTGGGGAAGAAGGGAATCAGGGTGGGGTTGTGAGAGAGAGAGAGAGAGAGAGAGAGAGAGTGTGTGTGTAACACCCATAGTTTGGAAAGCCAAGAAAGGAAAGAAAATCCTAATTTTAAAGGGCGACTCGGCGAGTCTAAGGAGGGACTCGGCGAGTCTAAGCGGGATCCGGGTCAAGGAGTAAGTGACTGACACGACGAGTCGGGAAAAGGGACTCGACGAGTCTGGTCTGTGCGAGGAAAACCCTAAAATCGGTAGTTTGAGCCTATTTAAACGTCTCATTCTCTCCCATAGGGTTCCTTTACTGACCCTTTCACCCAGAACATCGAACCCTAAGCCCCATTGTTGCTCATTCAAGCTTCCAAGCCATTTATGGGGTGATTTGAAGCAAGAAGAAGAAGGGGAATCATTGGAGCTTCAAGGATTGGCCTTGGATCCGAAGATTGGAGAAGTTCTCTGAGTTATTGAAGGTATTAAGTCGTTCTCTCCTTTAGATCTAGTATGGTTGTGAGTTTTGGGGGTTTTCTAGCCATGATTAGTTACCTCTTTTAAGTAGAAGCCAGATCTGAGGTTGCTACTTCAGATCTAAGCTCATTATGGTCTTGAGAAGCATAAAGTAGCAGCCCTTGAGTTGATTATGGAGCCTCTTTACCTTAAACCCTAGTTTATGGTGTATTTTGCTTAGATCTCCTTCTTTACACGTAAAGTTTGCAAATTTACGTGAGAAATAGGCTTGGGAAAGGTAGATCTATAGTTTGGAGTCCATGCATGACTCAAAAGCCCTCTGCATGTAAAGGGATTTGAATGGACTCAGCGAGTCCTTTGAGGGGACTCGGCAAGTAGCGTGAAGGTGAGGAGTAACTCGACGAGTGGGATGAACAGCTCGTCGAGTCAGATGAAGATTGCCTTGTACTCGGCGAGTCTGTTCTTGGACTCGGCAAGTCAGGTTGCGAAACCCCAAACCCTTCGAGTTGAGACTCGAATCAGCCAGTCGGGTGGAGACTCGGTGAGTTGGACAGGTCAGGACTCAGAAATCGATAGACTCGGCGAGTCATGGACTGACTCGGCGAGTCGAGACGCAAAAGGAAGGACTCTTAATATATGAACTCGGCGAGACAGTAGGGTGACTTGGTGAGTAGGGTTGACCTGGAAGGTTGACCTTGACCAGGACTTTGACTTGGACCAGGGTTGACTTGGTTGTCTTTCGGGGGTCAGTTAGGCTCAGTATTGCTTTGATATTGTTTGTTCGAGGAGCAAGGGGAGCAGGATTTCAGTGAGTTGTTGGGCAGCAGCTAGTGAGATCATCAGCAAGTTCAGCCAGTGCAGGTGAGTTTCCTTTTGTGTGAATGGGTCTAAGGCCACAATGCCGGCCCATGTAGTTATGAGTAGAAGACCCGGGAGTTAGCCCTAGGCATAATATGCTAGTATGATTTTCAGGATGAGGTCCCTTAATAGCGGTCGGGTGCCCAAGGATTTGTTTATATGATAGTCTATACTTGTTGTCTGTGTGATACATGTATGTGCCTGGTAGGGAGGGGAGTGTGGGTGAGGTCCCGTATCTCACTAATAGCAGAGTGTGGATGGTGTTCCACATCTCATTAGTAGCAGAACAGGGGCGAGGCCCAAGCTAGAGAAGGAATGAGAGTGGGCTGGGCCCGTATCTCACTACCAGTAGGAGCGTGGACGGGGTTCCATGACTCATTAGTAGCAGGACAAGGGCGAGGCCCAGGATAGGAAAAGCCTTAGGACAGGATCAGTCATATGAGTTTAACTTATGTGCTGTGATATGTTATATGATATTATTAGTTGGCGGGCGAGGCCCTGTGATATGTGTATGTGTTATTATTTGTTGGCGGTCGGGGCCCTGTGACAGGCGAGGACTAAGTAAAACAGATCTATACCCGATCGGGGCTCAAAGCCAGGCGGGGCCTGGAGCGGCGAGGGCGTTGTAGGGGGCGAGGCCCAAGATAGCGAGTGTGGCCCAGTATGTGCAGTATGTGGTTATGCATGGTATGTGGTGGGGTGGGGAACTCACTAAGCTTCGTGCTTACGGTTTTCAGTTTTGGTTTCAGGTACTTCCGGTAGCGGAGGGAAGAGCTTGGGGTGATCACATGACACTCACCATAGATTAGACAACCTGGGAATGTTTACTTTGATAATGAACATGTGTTTTGAAAACTTATACTCAGATTATGTTTTGGAATGATGACTTTGCTTAAAGTAATGTTTTATTAAAAGAAATTTTTGGTCTTAAATTTTGGGTCGTTACAAGTTGGTATCAGAGCCCTGGTTTGAGGGATTCGGACATGCTCTCGGGTGTGTCTGAACTCAAACTAAGGAATTGGTATAGAAATTTTCAAAATGAAAAGACAGTTTTGTAAAAAGAGGGTTTTGAGAAAGAAAACGGTTTTAGAAAAGCAAAAAGAATTCAGAAAGAAAAGAACTTTGAAAAGAGAAAAGAGGTGTGGTGCATGCAATCAACCGAGCTCAAGTAAGTACCCCAAAATACCCATACAAATCTATGTTTTGATTAATCGGTTAATAGAATAGCATGCTAGATTAGGGCTATGGATATAGGGATGATGCCTTATGTGCCTATTATATGTGCTTTTGATCTACATGATAGTGCTGAATAGATAGTAGTAGGATAGCCTGTTTAGGTTATGCCTGAGTTTATGAGTTGTGTTGCATGCTAGTTCAGATTCTTGCTATGTGGATATGATTGCTTGAGTATGTTATGGTTAGATTTTCCCTTTGTCTGAATGCTGCTTGCTTTGTGCATTGTGGGATTCTGAGTGATGGGAGTTAGCCATTAGGTGGATACGACACGTCACATGTGATCAGAGTTGAATAATCTCAGAGTGTTGGATTTGGTCCTATTGCGCAGCTCTTGTTTGAGTCCAACCATTGTAGGAACGAGTCTTCTACTTGAAGGATTATCTGAGCCTCGTCACATATGATGGTATCCAGGTGATGGCTAATTGGCATCACAAGGAGACCTTCAGTAGCTGAGGGCTGGTTTGAGTTGGGTCATAGGTTTCCCTAGGGTAAGCCTAGGATGAGGTAGTGCTGGGAGCAGTAGTAGTAGAAAAGGGACCTGGTGGAGTCGAAGCAGTTCTTGAGGAAAGTATGGATAGATGTGGAAGGTAGTATGGGCCCATACTACTGAAAGCAGAGGATCCGTACTCGATTCGGGGAAGGCCGAGACAAGACCGGGAACCTGGTAATGAGTATGTTTGGTCTCACAACAGTGAGGAGTATTCTGATAATGGTTATGTTATATGTTTCGGTATGGTGACATTGCGAGAGAGACCAGTGGGCGGGTCAGGCGCCGGAGAGGGATCAGGCTCGGGTTCAGGGACCGAGCAGCTCGAGGAGCGGATGAGAGAGTTGATATCAGCTGAGGTTACGCGTAGTATTCTAGCTCAGACTCCTGTGATCTTTGGCACGGTCAAGGAGGGTATATTGGAGATTTTGGATGAGAGGCTGGGAGCCTTCCGTACTAAGATGATGGCATTGATGGGAGCGCGTACCTTGACATTTAGGGAGTTTAGGGCTTGCGGGGCACCAGATTATCATGGGGATAGGGACCCCATCGCTAGCAACAGATGGTTGGCTGATGTTGCCAATGCGTTCCGTACGAGCCGGTGTCCTGAGGAGGACAAGGTCAGACTCGCTTCCTGTCTTCTGAAGGACAGAGCAAGGGATTGGTGGGAAGAGATTGGTCATTCTTTGGGTGATGATGCCGCGTTGGACGCGATGACTTGGAGCGATTTCTCAGCTAGGTTCAGGGCGGAGTTTTCGCCGATTATTGAGGTGCAACAGCTGGCCCGGGAGTTTGAGGATTTGACGCAGACTACTGAGATTGTAACGGAGATCACCGCCAAGTTCAGGGAGAGGGCTCTTCTCGTACCGCAGTATGTCGCGGATGAGGAAATGAAGAAGGCCCGATATCACGAGATGCTGAGGGCTGACATCAGGGAGTTCGTGAGTAGGTCCGGTTGTAAGACACTGGAAGATATGATTTCTTGGGTCAGGGAGAAGGAAATTGATTTGGAGCAGATCCGAAAGAGGAAGCCGGATGAGGTTCAGGTAGCCGCGAGTTCGGGCAAAAGGCCCAAGGGATCGGATTCGAGATCGAGGGATTATCAGGACCGTAGTTGATGTGGAAAGTGTGGCAGGGCGCACGGCGGCGCGTGCAGGAGTGGTAGTGGTGGTGACTCTAGCTGCTTCAGGTGCGGTCGGACTGGTCATTTTAGCATGGATTGTACTGTTACCATCACTCAGGGATCAGACTTGATATGTTTTCACGGCAATCAGTGGGGCCATAAGAAGGCCCAGTGCCCCAGTTTGTTTTTAGCAGGACGGGTGATGGCACCTGCTCCTGCAACCTTGAGGATCACAGACGGCCGTCAGGGCCGTGCAGAGGCGCCTGCAGTAGGAGGCAGGGCTTTTCAAATGGCTACTTTGGAGACACGAGCAGCGCCGAACTTTGCAGGTATGCGATTTCCGTTTTCAGTTCTTTTGTTTGTGCATGATGTTATATTGTTATGGTTTCTGCATCATTATCAGTATGAGCATTTCATTTTGAGCGGTTTGATTGT